CTGCATTCAGTACATATTTAAATTTACTTAAAGCATTACATTTTATTATATATAACACGTGTGGAATATTACATTATAGAGATATAGAATCCAGCTTAACTCCATGTTACACAAGATTTAACTTTAACAGGTGATGTTGTATTACATAATTAATGAGTAATTATTTCATAGTTTCAGCTTTCTTTTTTGTTAAGACACACTAACATGAATCTCTTTCTTATTAAATTAATTTTGTATTGTTGAAGTTGATTTTTAGCTGCTGATTTTTTCACGCTCAAGAGTGCTTAAGTAATCATTTGAATTGTTCTAATAATCTTTTGAATTTGTTGAGACTTTTGTTTGAGTGAATGTATGTACATTACATAGAACCTCTGTAATATTTCTTAGTTTTTTGGGTGCCAAACACTAAGGTATGCAGTTTGTAACTTGGCTGTTAATGCAGTGACTTTAGAATTCACCAAACCCAATAAATTTCACTTGACATTTTGCTGACACTAACTGAGAGGACATCCAGAGAACTCTAAGCTGAGATACACATAGACTATTTATATCTTGTGACCCAAAAAGTGCAGTGGGATAAATCCATTTCCCAAACAATCAACCCTTGATTTAAAAAGTAAGGTGTATATTAAGGGCACTATTCTGACTTTTAGTACAGCCAGTGGTAAAGGGCAGTTGCATGTTAGAAGCTTCATAGCGGCCACCCCAGTACACTTGAGTGATATACAAAGTGCAACTAAGGGTAGTATGCTGTTATTTGAAAAAGTACAATGTGCTCAGCAGCACCCCCTGTGCTGGTTGGTGCAGGAGAAAGACCTATAAAACAATTGTTTATGTAAATCTTTAAGATGACAGCCCTGGCCCTCCTAATTTTACCCAATAGAGTACAGTTTGCTTCAGTGGGGCAGCACTGCAGCATTCATCCACATGGAACGAAAAGCAGGACCAGAAACAGAGCATATGCAAAATATTTGACAGTGGGATACTTAAGTTTAGCTGGTTTGTTTCATATTTTGGTTGGTTGTATAAAGGACAAACCAAGAGCTTAATAAACAACTGTTGTAAATGTAATATAGTGTTGCCCATGAGCCTCATGCTCTGCATATCATAACAGGCAAAATAAATGATTTACAAAAGGTCCTCAGGGTAATTCTGTCAGTGTTCTTTCACAGGTCAGACAATTGAACAATGCTGCTGCTTCCAACTTTGAGCACTATAGTTATGGGAATATTCCTGGTGACTATGGCCGTTGCAAATCCAACTCAGGTTGGCAAAAACCTAGATCCAAATGCATGTGCACTAGGTGTATGTCGACCTGCTCAGAATAGATCACTCACAGGAGATGGGAAGGAAGGTCCTAAAGGGGAAAAGAAACATCCAGGTAAAAAAGTACTTATTACCTAAGCTCCTGTTTAGTTTTCACACATCTATCTCACTGCTGATTGTTTTTAACTGCTCATTACTAAAAGGACGCTCGTGGCAAACTATGTACCTCTGCTCAATTTCTAGCAAAAGGGTTGTGAGTACAGTGGATCTTTAAACTTGAAAAAGTATGCAAAATCTGTATCTTTATAAGGAGTTGTTTGGTTTGTGGTTTTTTAAATTATTTAATGCCTGAGCTTAACCTGCCAATAGTGATAAATATCAAAATGAAACCTGGTAATATAGGCTTGAATGTCTCAGACATAGCTAGTACTTTGTAGAAACTTATGTAGAGATCATTACTAGATTGAAAGTTCTTACCAATTGAAAAACTCTTCTATGAAATGCAGTTTTCCTCTTTCCTCAGTCAAATGTATAAATAAACCAAATGGAGTCCAGTTCCACCATTTGTTAAAAAAAGAGAAAACATGTTTATGAAAATTGTCTACATTTTCTTTACCCAAAATATACAGAAAGGAAAGAAGGCTAGAACGTCAAAAAGAGGAAATGTAAATGTTTATCACAAATAAACAGCTGAGACCAGATTATGAAACTTTTGCATAGGTGTGGGAACACTAATTTATACAGTGAAATTTTGAGTTCAGCAAGACCACTCAGATGATTATAGAGTGATTGAACCGAGTGAGATTTCCTCAATAAAATGAGGCTAAGAACTTGGCTCTCATGCTTATGATTTCAGAGTATCTATAATCATAAACATTTCAAATCATTCCCTAAAATAAAGGCATGTTTTATTTTTACCTGTCTCTTAGCTCAGGTCAATTCTATTTAGCAAGGCTTCCCTCAGGGCATATTGTAGAATATTGCTCTGTAGTTTGCAAATGTTACAGAACTCCACAATTCCTTTTATAAATCCCAGAATATATATCAAAAGTAACAGCTCTCTCTCTCTCTCTCTTTCTCTGTCCCTATATATATATATATATATATATATCTATCTCAACATATCGCTATCAATATACCAATATATCAATACATATCAAAGGTAGCAGTTCACTGTCCAACAAGTATTTATCCAGAAATAAGTTTATTTTTAAAGATTACTTATTCATTCATTAATGATGTATTTCATTGCAAGTTCTGGAGTTTAGTTATAAAATGTTTTTATGCAACACTGTATAAAAGAACTGGTCACATTATTTGCCATGAATAATTTAGCCAAAGTATTTCTGTCTGCAATTTATCTGAATATGCTGTAATTTTTACATACAACATTAGCTTATTCTTTGCAACTGTTTACAGAAGTTTGTGTGAAGAGATGCTTTTTCTTTATTTTATTTTCAGGCTGATCTCTGAACATTTGCTATTTGTTTTGCATGGTTTGTGTGGTTCAGTAAGGCATATGGTTTGAGTTATCTTCCTTCCTTGACTAGTTCAAGTTGATAAATGGGAGTCCACCTCTTTCTCCTTGTTCTTTCCACAGAGTGTCCTTAACACTTCATTGGCATTTGCTGTCTCTGTTGTGGGACTAATGAAACGATCTGTTAAAAATAACCCCATGACCTCCACCCATGTGCATTGTCTTGCATGCATTTAGTCATGATAGCACTTCCAGTGACTTTTCTTTCTCTATCATCCTGTCACACACATGCTTAGGTAAGTGTATAAAAAGTGTGTAGAATTATATATTAAATATGCAATAAGAAGAAGAAAATAGATCAAAATGTTCATCACAAAAGGGCAAGTCAGTGAGAACAAAATGTTTCCTTCAAACCATCTTCAATTAATATTTAGCAGATCAAAGAAAGGATTCCCATAGAGCCCTGCTTTGATTTATGGTGAGCTGCTAGGGACCCAGCTGCTCCCAAAGTCACCTGCCTTTCCATATTCCTGTCAGGTTGACTGTCCTTGGCTCCAGGAAATCTCTTGCTTCCAAGACTGTGGCTCACTCACAGGATTGTTTTCTGGGAGTCTGAAAGCACTGGATCCCCTGGTCTATGTGGGACCCTCATGACTTTCAGGAACCCTCTCAGGGAGTGAGGACTCAGAAGCTGGAAGAACTATAAGAAGCTGTAATTGTCTACAGCCCTAGGGCAGTACTACCATGGGAGTAAGAAAGTACCAATCTTATTTCATTGCATAGTCACTCACTGTCAAAGTATCCCATCAAAAATAGATTATTCAAATGAGACTTGAATATTTCTAACACCCTATTTCTAACAGAAATGTGTGATTTTCCTTAACTTTAATTTTCTAGATGCTAGACTTCAAATTATTCATATGGCTGATGTCTCCGTTCATCACTCAGTCACATGTGTACCACTGAGTCATAGCAAGTTTATTGTCAGGCAAATAGTAAAGCTCAGATTTATTCTCATCCTGAGTCAAGGAAAATAATAATAAACCCCTAAAAACTGCACCTCTCTGTTTTCTGTGTTTCATTCCCTTAAATGCTAGGACTGGAAGAAGCCACAAGTTTTCAGGATCTGCCAAGGAGCACAACATACATTGAACCGAAAGGGAACAAAAGTTCAGTTGAGAAGGAAGCAAAAGGAAGTAGAGGTAAGTGATATGGACAGGCTTGGATTACAGATTAGAAGGAGGATCCATTCAATTAGTGGATAGAAGTCCAAAGGGGAGCATTCCTATTAAACTCACTTCCCTGTTTTGTTGTGGTTAAACAAGAATCTCAATCTGTATTACCACCTACATTTCATCCATATTACAGGATGCTTTAATATGCGAGACTTTAATTAGATCCAGTGCATTTTTGTTTACCTGTAGTGAGTATATGATGTGAAAATTAGTCAAGTCATTTCAATGAAAATTTAACACGCATATCTCATGTTCATTATTGAAAAATATTAGATGCTATTATATGGTGGAATTATATCCCATTTTAAAACATTCATGGATTCTTATGCACTTGGAATTCAGAAACAGTATCACAAATAAATGCCAAAGCCTATGTACATCAAAATCTTAATTAGAATACTTACCTTTTATATATAGTGCTTCATAAATATTTATTAGTCCTGAAGGCATGCCTATGGTTTAAGTGGACTAATATTTTACAAATGAAGAAACTGGGACACAACCCATGGTAGTGTCTGCTTTTTTCCAAGATCAGCAGCAGCTTCCATTATAACTGTGAAACTCAGGGGCTCATGGCTCTCATTCTTGTGTTCAGGTAGGTAAAAATACGTGAGAGCTTGTTATCCATTTGCTAGAGCAGGGTCCTGTGTAGAAGGAAGTCCAGATCCCATTTTAGATCAGGTGATTTTGGTTGTCTTCTCAACCTTGGTTCCTTTACTTAGAACATGCGCAAAACAGTAGCAAGGCAAGATTAATTAATGTTAGGAAAGCACTCCAGAATTTTTACAGGAAAACTGGCTTGATGCCAATGCCAGTTATTTTATGCAAGAAATTAGAAATCCACCTGTAAATTGTCTTGTTCTATGCATTACTATGTTCTTTAATTTACTAGTAGGTTTACAAGGAACAAAAAGTTTACAGAACCCTGAAGGGAAACTTGGTTTTCCTATGCCAAAAGAAGATACAAGTTCACAAGCCAAAAGTGGAATGAAGGTATCTGCTAGATTTTTGGGTAAGTGAAACAAGGTATTTTTATGTTCAAAGGCTTTTCTTTCTATACCCAAAGGAAGCTCAAGTGACTTTTCACATGAAACAACTTGTAGAGTGACACTTAGTTACTCTATTGGCATGTCTACATGAGACGTTTATGGCATAGTAGACTAATTAACTGCACAGTAAATGTTTCATGTCTACACGTGCCGCCTATTATATTAAAGTAAACTAATTTACTCTGCAGCAGCGCACATGTAGACACTGCCTTGGGTGGTGGGGCATCTGCTCCTGGTCAGCCATCCACCAGGAGGTGGAAGATGGCTCCTTGCCCCTGGGAGCTGCCTGTTGCCAGGGTGGGCTCCACCACAGGAGCCTGTGCTGAAGCTATTTCCCCCTGTCCCAGAAGCAGGGAGCTCCAAGCCCCCTGCTCCTAGATTGTGATCAGGGAGCAGGGGCTGGGAGACCCTTATCTGCCAGCGGCAGCTCTGCAACTGTGGGTCCTCTAATGGTAGATGCTTATCTCCCAACCTAAGCCCCACAGTTGTGGGGTTTGGGCTGGGAGAGCTGCAACTGCGGGGCTCAGGCTGGGAGATAAACATCTCCCAGAAGCAGCCCCACAGTCATTGAGCTGCTGCTGGGAGATAAGGATCTCCAAGCCCCATGACTACAGGGCTCAAGCTAGGAGATAAGGGTCTCCCAGCCTGAGCTCCATGACATGGAGCCAGTTCCCCAAGTGTAGATCTGGGGAGGAACAGGCTGGGGAGCTTCTTCCTCCCCCAGCTCCAATCTCATGGAGCTTACCGGGGGCATTTACACATGCATTTACTCCGGCCCAAATTTACTCTGGTGTAAGGTACTGTGAAGTAAGGGGTTTTCAGCAGGCATCTACACATGCAGAGATTAGGGAGAAAATGTGCACCCAATTCCCTGCAGCCCTGCAATGGGCCCCTTCCACCACCAGGGCAAGCTCCAAACTCCCCCTGGGTGCTAGTCCAGAGGCTGGCATGGGTATGGGGCATGGAAAGAGCTGCAGGGGAGGGGCAGATCCCAGCCACCTGTCCTGATCTTCCAGTGGGGCAGCTAGCAGCTGGCTGCCTCACCGGTGGATCGGGGCAGGGACCTGGGACCTGCCTCTCCCCTGCAGTTCTTTCCAAGCCCTGTGCCTCAATCACCCAATCAGGGCATGTGGCTGACACTTGCACCTGACTGGGACAGTTCGTGGCCAGCCCCAGGCTGCACGGGGAAGTCTGCACATGCAACCCGGAGCTGGATGGGGACTGCCCGATACAGGACAGACCCCAGCCAGCTATAGGCGGGATGGAGAACTGCTCCCATACAGGGAGCTCCCAGCCCCTGCTCTACAATCGCAATTGTGTTCATGGAGCTGGGACTGGGAACAAGCTTCCAGCCTGTTCCCAGCCCCAGCTCCATGATTGCAGAGCAGGGGCTGGGAACAAGGTCCCAAGCCTGCTCCATGATTGTGATTGGGGACTGAGAGCTGGAAGCTCCCTGCTGCTGGGGCAGGGGGATAATGTCCCCACCCGGGCACCTCTGACAGTTTCTTGCCTCCAATATCAGGAAATCAGTTTTTGTGAATCCCATTCACCTGGTGGGTTGTAAAAGAACTGTAAAATTAATTTGACCACTAAAAGTCTAAAAGTTTTAGAAATAATTCACTAAGCACTGCATGAACATACTACATCATTTGATATAAACCTGAATGGTCCTTAAAAATAGGAGTGAACAGTACTGATACTTCCTTTAAGGTACAGATAGACACAGCCAAATACTCTGCAATTCTTCACATAACAAAACTAGTCTTTCAACATTTAGATAATATTAAGGAAACCTAGAGCAGAAATGAGTTTCAGATGTAGTAGGTCCATACACATCAAAATGTTGCCAGGTCCACTGTGCATTGACTCTATGATTCTTTAGTTTACTAATGATAATAATTCATCTTTTTCATAAACATCTTGAAAGACAAGTGCTTTATTTGGAAAGGCAGTTGAGAGCTCTAGAGAGAAGCTTCTCCAAATACAAAAAAGGTAAGTCTGATCACTTTAAGCCTTTTGAGTTCTACTTTCCTCCATCAGAGAGTGGTTTTGTTCATCTTTACTAACAAAAATACATCTTTAGTTAAGTCAGTATAACTTTGGATAAACCAGAACTAAAGATAATTATTTACACACGCTAGAATCCTCTGCAAGTCATGCCTCTGCCAAAATGTGTTAGTTGTATGAGCTAGAATTGCTACGACCATGAAACCAGAAGTTCTGAGTCTGTGGTCCCTGGAGCACACTGTTTTGTGGAAATCTAGCTGGTCACAAAATGTGGGTTCCTCCTTATTTACTTATTTCTGGTTCCTGCATAATATTAAAGTCAGCTAAACATAAATATAACCTTTTTCTGATATATCTGAGGAGAAATGGGAATGAGGTGCTTTACCTAGTTTCTGTATTAAAATACAATCCATCCTCTAAAAAAATGTATGAGCAATATAACAAAGCTGGAGTGGAAAACTATGTCTGGTCTCATAAGGGTGAAAAAAGTGGGGTAACTTATTAAAAAAGGGGTGTAATACTATTTTCCTTGGAAAAGAAAAATGATGCATTGTAGCCTTATGTTCTATTTGTATTTAAAGGGGGTGCAAAGGGGAAACATTTTTACCAGTACGTTTCCACCCATTTTAACCAATGAATGCATAGTTTGTGCATTGTCACAGAAGAATCAGAAGTTTATATATTGTGTTGTCTTGAGTAGCATTCATTTTTCCTGTCCTAACAGCAAAAATGCCATCCAAAGCAAATTATAGCTGTTGGAGCACTCTAATGTGTGTGATAGTCTCAATTTAGACTCATGTCTGCAGGCATAACCTTCACTGAGAAGGTCCTGATGAATGTCTGTGTAATTTCAGCTCTACCTGTAAGCTCCTAAATAACAGGCTGTAAAAGTTTTAAAGGTTTCATCTTATCTTCTGAAGAGCTACTGAGACAGCAATATACTCTGCAGTTTTTAGGCACTTGCTGTTCCATACTGCCCTGACCATGCTGGCTTACAATTTTAGTAATCTTTCAAAGATGTCTGTTCCCTAGCTAAATATCCTTAAGACTCCTAACTAAAAGTATAGCCATCATATTCATTAAAAATACCTTCTAAGAAACCCATCTTGAATAGCAATAGGTAAATCTACCAAGTTTAGGAAATCAGTTTGGATAAGTACTGTATATCTACCTCATCAATACTGCAAACCTGGAAATCTCACCAAAGCACACTCATATAATGGCATGATAATATTGTGCTTCTGCTCCTAAATAGAAATAATTTGAGAATAACTCTTCCTTGCCATGCTTCGGCATTTCTGCTATAAGCCCTGCCGGGATACACAACATAAAATCTCACTTCAGATGGAAAGTTTGAGAATGTAAGTGAGAGGAGGGTTGGTGTTGTCATTCTGGCACACAGAGGCTATGCTGTTTGAAACCTGAAAAATAAGATGTGCTTTAAAATGTGCCAGAATATGGCACAGACTACCTCTTTAACCAGCTTGTTGTTAGGCATTCCAGCCACTGTGAAGATCAAGGGGGGCCAACCTTTTTGACAGGTGCATCACAAATTAGGCCCGTACTCTCCTCAAGTGCCACTTGGATCCCTTAGTTCCCTGCCTAATTTGCTGCTTTGCTTTCTGCTTCCTGCCCTATCTGCTGCTGCACTGACTGTCCTCTCCTGGGTCTACCATGTGCCACACTCAAAAGCTGACCATGCCACTTGTGGCACCTGTGCGTGCCACAGGTTTAAACTTCTGTAGTCTTCTGTCTTGAGATATTTCAGTGCACTTCCAAAGACAAAGTTTTTGTCTGGCTCCCACCCCATCTGAGATCTGGAAGCTTTACCTGCGCTCTGTGCAAAGGCTCCAGCCCTGATTCCTACTGTAGCTTAAACAGATACTTTCTCAGAATCCCACCAAGGATGTGACCCCTTTCAGTTTCATCTTGCCTTTTTGTGGAGCATGTGACAGAATCAAGTACATGGGTACATGACAGCAAACTGGGCAAACAGTTTCTTACTTCACCCTTTGTTTTTAACTTAAACTTCACAAGAAATTGCATATCTTTGGAAAACAATAATCTTTCTAACACAGTGTTCCTGAATCTAGTTCCTCATTCTCTGGGAGCTCACCTGTGTTCAAGAAACTAGGATTTCTCTCTGCCTTTTCTGCTCTTGGTGTTTTATAAACTTCCTAACTCTCTATCTGATGACTCTCTGATTGGCTTTGTCAGTGAATCAAAGGCCCCTGTGAGTTGACTTTGTTGCCAAGGCAATCACTCTTCTTACAAATAAGTTTACCTCAGTAGGAGCCAGCTCATTGTGTAGGATGATTTATATTTGAAGAGATGACCATCTTTAATGACCCACTATTATTAGTACTGTGCCAGCAGCCCTTGGAACTTCAGTCTTATAAAGAGGTAAGAAAACCATAGGAAGGCAAGAACAGCCTTAAAATCAAAACGGAGTTTGCACTTTGACAGTCACATACACAAAGTTCAGAACCTGAAAAAACCCCATAAATTGTACTTGGTTCTCGAAGCTGTCATGCTCAATGGGTCCTAAAGATCAGCTGTTTAAGGTACATCACACTAAGAAAGTAGGACTGGGTGCCAAAGTCCTGGGTCTGTCAGAAAAAAATATTCTTTTCAAGGTAGTATCTATTTGTAGCTATAAAGGTCAGTATAGTTTGCTGAGGATTCCATATTTTAGATGATTAACTGGTATAAACCATTATATCTCCATTGAAGTCAATGGAGATATACTAAGTTCCACCACCTGGCCCTATAAATATATGGACTTCATAAAGTCATCCATAGCTAGAGCTTTACCTCTAAGATCTCTTTTTGTCTTCTAGTGATACTGTTCCCAAATGGCAGAATTGTGGGTGAAAAGGTATTTGTGACCAGTGGCTATCAAGGTGATTTCATCAGTGTAAAACAAATGTGTTCTCAAGCTGGTGGTAAGCTAGCTTCCCCTCAGGATTCAGCGGAGAACTCTGCTGTCCAGCAAATTGCTGCTGTGTACACCAAAAAGGTGTTTCTAGGAATAAATGACATCCAGATGGAGGGGCGGTTCAGGTATTGGAATGTCCAAGTCATTATCTACTCCAACTGGGCACCGAGAGAACCAAATAATGATAGAGGCAATAAGGACTGCGTGGAAATACATCCAAATGGGTTCTGGAATGACCAAAACTGTAGAGAGAAGTGGTTAATTGTTCGTGAATTTTAAACCACCTGTTCTATTTCATTTGATTCATGCTGCTCTGCTAGTTTGTGTTATAATCAAGAAACTATCATTTTACAGAGGCTTCCAACCTTCTGATAGATCACTAATTAAAATGAAATAATCAATTTCTGACTTTTTGTTTAGTCTGAATGGAAACCAGCTTTGGTTCATGCATTGACCTGGATAAAATCCAACTGAGTGGATGCAAGAACTGAAAGGAAGTAAAAATTTACGCAGTCAGTCTCCTAAGAAATTCAGAAGAAATATTTGATCTTGTTCTAACTGATCACAGGGGGTCATTTGCATGCCAGATATTCATGTTAGAAAGTGTCTTTGTTCACTTAACTAAGCTTTGTTACTTTTTATACCCAGTGCCTGTAGCCCTGGATCTAGATTAAGTTGTGTGGTTCTGTCCAAATGCATAGGAAGAAATTGTTCCAAATGACTTACTTTTTCCAACAGAAGGTTGCCCACTATGGAAGTTTCCGTAACCATATCCCTGCTTAGAATTCTTTGAGGACCTCTGTATCTTCCAAACTTAACTCATTTGTTTGTTGGAACATAAAATGACATGGAGGAATAGAACTGCATCTTGCTGGTAGTTACTTGCATTTTTTATGGTTATCTATTACATCTACTGTCACTAAAGGTGCCAGATGTATGTGGAACTTAATCAGTTTTTCTGTCTGATTCTCTAACCAGTCTTAGACCAAAGGATCTTTGATAAAAAAAAACCAAAAAAAACCCAAACAACTACATTAGGAAAAGATGAAGATCTACTAAAACAAAAGGAAATAAATGCAAAGCGAAAATGCTTATGGCTCTATCATTGTAGTTTCTGAGATCAGAAAAGCATTTCTTGCTTCAGAGACTCTCCAAACTCATGAGGCTTTTATAGACATGCTTTGGGAGTGGGATGTGGGGGCACTTTAATTGGAGTGGCTCCAAGAGCTGCTCTAATTAAAGCACCTGGAGCATCATGTGTATCAGTTTCCCCTTGCTGAAAAATGGTGGCTGGGCACTTTAACTGAAGCTCATCAAATGAGCTTTAAAGTGCCCCCACCACCATTTTTCAGCATCGGGACAGTAATACATATGATGCTGGAATCTGCTGGAGCATAGTAATTACCACGCTCCAGCAGACTCAATTAACTGAGTCTATTCTGACTCACTGTAAGTACAGCGTGTTGAAACAGCCTCACTGCATGTGTGTAGATGCCCCTAGGCATTTTTTTTTGCTGTACATTAACATTGAATTCTTAGGTGGTATTTGTATAAGGACCACTAAGTTTTCCCAAGTGTACTTACTTTGGAAGCCACTTACATTTTTCCCAGCCCAAATACATTGTATTTCCATCTGCAGTCCCCATATCCTCATGACTACATCATAAATGGAAGTCTGTTCTTGCCCATTTGAACAGGACATGTCCTGCCACTGTATGTTACAGTGTGGAGAGTTGTTCAGAGAAATCTAAGATGTCTGTGCTGAAGCTGAAACATTATGGTATTTTGGGCCAAAGTAGCATTTGTTTTCTTAAAGGATAACTTTCTTGGCCTAAGTGTCAAGTTGAAATCAGATGTTAGTAACTTTAGAAACCTTAATTTTAGAATTAAGGCTCATGTTTTCAATAATTCACCCTACTGTGTATAAAATAGTGAGTTTTAACAATTGAAGCTACAATATCTGTCATGGCTATGCTAGAAAAAATTGACATATGGGAAAGAAAGATATGAAATGCCACATACCTCACATAATCTATGCTAAACTAAG